GCGCCGGCAGTGGTGCAAAGCGGGCAGTTGTTTCCCTGAAAATTTTCAAACCGATGCTAGATTAAATTATGTTACATTTTATTTTAAATTTTTAAATTAATGAAATTGTTTACAAGTTTACATAAAACAGAGAAATCATTCTAATAAATAAAAAGTCAAATGAAATTTACCTACCCACTTGATAAAATGCATGGAAATTATTAATTTGCATTTTTCAATTAAAATAATTGTAGTTATTACTACTATTACTATTGTAATTACGCATTCATACTAAAAAATATCGTATGACACAATGCAAAATCGCTTTTAAAGAATTCGCAACGTTAAGGCCACTCCGCTGCACGTCGTTTGTTCATACTTTAAAGGCTCTATTATGCATTAGTGTCATAATATACTATTATGTATAATAGATTTATTAATTAACAAGTCAAATAATTATTTATTTAGTAAATGATCACCTATAAAACACAATGCATGAGAATAAGCCAACAATTACATTAGACACTCAAGCACTTCGTTCTGCCTGGGGAGGTGTCGGCGGTACTTTTCTACCGCAAACGTTTCCTCGCACCCTCCGCTCTTGACTGCCACTGTTCTATATATTATATTACCATGATTAATTACGCAAAAATTTGTTTACCTGCTAACACGGCCATACTGATTTATATTTCGCTCTCGAAATATTTTTTTATGTATCGACTGGTTATTAATTTGTATTATTTTAATTTATCAAAATATTAAAGACAAGACGTCTCAAATAAAAATAACAAAATTATGAGATAGCCGCCAAATTCTTTTACGCCAATTATTTTAAAAAAGTGTCCTGCTCATCCTCTCGTCACATTCTGAGACGAGGCAAAACACTTTATTTAAGATTTTATAATAATTTAAAACACAATCTGCTCTTTGGATATTAACAATATTCGTCCGATATTTTTCAATTAATATGTGTAAAATAATTTCAAAATAAAAACTATGCTCCTCGGATTTCAACAATATCCGTTCAGTATTTAAAAAGTTTCAGTATTTTATAGCAGAGCTTTAATATTCGATAAAACTTTTAAAATTAATACAAAAAGTTTACATAAAATTTGCCGTTTTCTAGTTGCTTGACTTTTTATTGTTCAATGTATACCTATTAATTTTTCTTCGAATTTATTTTAATTTTTAAAAATTATCATCTGCCAAACAATTTATTGTTTCTATTAATTAACAGATCACCCGTTTTAAGAATGTACAGTAATAATTTAATTTCAACTTTGTAATTAATCGGAAACCTTTTTGTTTAAAGAAATATAGAAACTAATATTTTTATTAAAAAATACATGTTAAAGAAAAATTATAATCATTTTAATCCTTAAATATTACAAGCCACTACATCAAAACGATGTCCGTAATGGGAATGTGTAAATTAAATGCAAAATTTAGAAAATCTTGTATCTATAAAAATAATTATAAATATTCCCGGAATGAATAATCCCTTTCTCGAAGATGAATTTATTTGTGTGATTATAACACCGTAATTTGTTTATGTATGTATTTTAGTGGGCTCTGGCGCGTAAATAAAGAAAGTAATTAATATGGGTACACATTAAGGGTATATGATTGATTATCCATACTAACACAGGAAAAACAAATGGGTTAAGTATTACAATTTGATTGGTACTTAAATAATAAAAGATTACAAGTACCTGTCATCTTGGAAATCTCGAGGTAAGTTGACTAATTCCGACTAATCTACAGGATGATATTGTTTATCCGATACTAATGCTAATTTATTTAATTAATTAAGAAAAGTGTATCTATGTATGTTTTAATCTATATTATTTATCGATGAAGAATACCATCAATTTAATAGTACATTACATAACAAGTGTGGAAAGTGCAACATTTCGCACGAGTTGAAGTATCGTAATGGCGAGTGCGGAAACTAAACGAGTGCGAGAAATACACTTTTCAACGAGTTGTGTACCTACACTATTTTTTTTACGACCACACACAAAATCCTTAAAAAATATCTTTTTTAAATGAGAGAGTGAATTAAACCATATCACACATGTACGGAAAAGTATATCACACATGTGCTGAAAAGAATATCAACACATGTGTTGAAAAGTAAAAAAGTCCTCCAAAATATTTTTCATTTTGTAACAGTAGAAATGAGAAGAACTAATACAATGTTTAAAAAATATCTATAACTAAAGCAGAACAAGAACTAATATAACAATAAGAAACATTTATAACTAAAGCAGAGATACTAACAGAATAGTTTATAAAAATTTACATCTAAAGTAGAAATAACTAATGGAATGGATAAAAAATATTTGTAACTAAACTAGAGATAACTAATATATTAATTAGGAAATATTTGTAACTAAACTGTATGAACTGAATAATTATTAATAATTTTGTTTTTCTTTTTTTCTGGGACGTTATAAAAGTTAAATGTAAAATTGTTATTATAACATTTACTAAATTGCAGTGGATTTTGTAATGTTGCAATATTATTATTCTCAGTGGTTCCCCTAATATATGTGTTTATTGTTTCTTGTGGATCTACATTAATTTGTTGCTGTATAGATGAAGTACACAAACTTGCACTGTATCTGGGTTGTGTAGTTTTAGCATTTTGTTCAGAGTATTGTTCAATGTTTCTACATGCAACTTCTTCGTTGAATGTGCTTATGCTGCGAATGGTGTTCATTATTTTATTAGCAGTCATTAATCTATTAGTTGCAGAGTCATCTATGTACTGCGCGGCCACGGTAGAGGATTTCCATCCCCCGTGGCGCTTTAATGCAGCAAGATCTGCTCCTGCATCTACCAAAATTATTGCAGAAGAACACCTAAAGGTGTGGCCAGTATATTGTTCTAGATTCGGAAGATTTAAAAACTTTGCCACTACCTTTGGCACAGTGCCTATTTTGTTTATACCCACTAATTGTTGGGTGCATTTTTTATTTTTATAATTAAGAAAAAACCTTAGTTGAGTGGTTGGTGGTCTAAGATTGGCATATTTTTTTATTATGGTATAAAACGGTTCAGTAATCGTGAATTTTCTGGGTACTTGGTTTTTTGTGTTATCTATTTTTATCACAGCTGCTGTACCCAAATCCTCTATATTGTTTATAGTCAACTGTGTGAGCTCCTGCTTTTGGCACGCTCTTGATATTTCAAGGATAAGTGCAACTTTAAATAACAAAAAAGACTCACACATTGAACAAAATAATAGATATTAAACTTGCTCATCTTTGTAAATAAATATAATTCATCTGGAGCTGTTTCTATGAAATTATTTATTTTTTGTTGCGACAGGACTTTGGCTTTTTTTGGTTTATAGCCATCACTTTTTCTCTTTAAGAATGCCTTTAATTTTAGGTACCTACTTAGAAATATCCACATTGTGTTCAATAGACAGAGTAGTTCTCAACATTGAGTACTGTGTCCACAAAGTTAAACTTTGTACTTTTGATGATAATTTATTCACATAGGCCAGTAGAACATTTTCAGAAAACGAACTCTTTATTTGTTTCCTTTGTCTCCATTTAATGAATTAATCATAAGCATATTGATACCTTACTCTAGATTGAGCAGGTAACAATTTGAGCGACGTGTTTTTAGCAGCTTCTGCTATTTTTGGAGGCGTACATTCGAAATCACTAGAATCCATTTTTTTGCGAGCTCAGTACAATTGTATAATAAAATAAAATTTTACAAAATGATTGCTTGTGTGTTTGACAATTAATACCACAGCCTACTTAATGTAATTTTTCAAATTTTATAACTTTAAACTTACCTGTTGGATTTAATATAATCACAATAGCCATGAAGAATAAGTTTTCCTTCACTTTCTTTTAAATGCATTAACCAGTAATCTTTATAACACTTAATTTTAAAGTTTGAATTATCTTGTAGACACTAGTATGTATTTAAACACAAATCACAATAAACTTTAAATATTTTTATACTAATAGACACATACAGCAAGGTGTATTGTAAACACTAACATAAACATAACCTCAAAAATTCACATTGTCGTATTTGAAACCGAAAATAACACTATAGAAAAGAAGAAGAAAATTATTTTGTTTCCAGAAGTACCCTTATAAAAAATTTTGTTTCAATATTCGATAAATAATATTGAGTAAACATGTTTTATTATTATTTTATAATTTTAAAAACCTATATAAAAAACTTTATTGCTCATTTGCTATTACATAAAAATTTGAAATGACAATTATAATGATAACTTTGACGTACATGTCACAGGTCATAGGACGATATTTTTTAACTTTTCAATACATGTGTATTTTGCTATTTTTCAGTACGTGTGTGGTATATATTTCATTACGCGTGTGATATAAGCTACTTTCTTAAGAACAAATAAGTGTGCAAACTATCATTTTCGTATGTGGTCGTAGGAAAAGGTTTTTCTTCAATTAAACTATTACAGTAATAATTATTTTTTACAAATTATTAGTCAAAGTAAATCACTTTCTTATAAAAATATTGTTTTACAAATACCAAAAAAAAAAAAGACACTGCTATTACTAGGGTTAAGAAAATAAAGTGGATGGGATAACAACTGTTAAAATACCCAATTTTTTTTTGTTATTATTAATTAAACAATTAAAAAATTCTAATTCTCAATTTCAGATATTCCATCAAGCACAAACGTACAATTGGAGTACCATACATAAATAAACATTTCACAAGATATTTTTTTAATCTTCGTATTTTTTTATTTTTCTTTTTTAATTTGTGATTGAGAGCGGTATTAAAAAAAAAACATAATTTGTTTACTTATACGATATCACGTCCTATGACAGCGAATATGACATTGAGTTTGATGACGATATGAAAGGATATAGTTCGGAATAATTAATATAAATATTAGTATAAGTATTCGATTTTGAAGATATATGTTCTTACGAAATATTATTATTATCATGTTTGTTCCCCAAACAGAAAACATTAAATTTTAAAGTCCATTTGGGAGCACCGTCCCTGTTCCGGCTAATATACAACCTTCCTTCATGTTTAAAACGATAAGATTTTCTACTATAAATTGCAACGCACTATAAATATATAAAAATTTACTACCTATAATAATTTATGTCTTTATTTTTAGCAAATTATATAATTTAACTATTTTCGGTAATGGTTTTTTCGATCCAGTCCACGAAGTTAGAGAGCTTGGTGTACACATTTGGAGCTCCGCTGGTACCGCATGGCTCCAAGTACCACGTGACTGTACCGATGACGGTTCCATCTTGACTTAAAGGACCACCGACATCACCGTAGCAGGTGTTTGCTGTTTTGCTTAACGTACATAAATTGCTCTTGTCATCTAAATTAGAATCTTGGTCTGGGAAAACTTGTTTGATGGCTTTGCGGCAATCTAAAACGATAGAAAAAAACGTATTGTTTGATGACACTTTTGGTGACATTAAATCAAGAACTGTCTCTAATTTTAGAATGTTTAAAAGCATACAAATCTAGTAATCAAAGATAACGAAATAATACCTTATTCCAGCGATCGAAAACAAATCTGTAGAAGGCTGAAATTAAATGCTAGAGGATCGAACAATAAGTATCCCAACGGTGAACAGGTTGAACATCGACCCACTGCAAAATTAAAACTCTCTAGACTACTGAAGATAGTAGGTATTTCCAATAATACTTCCAAATTTCTTACAAGACTAACTTACCCTGTTCCCCATGAGCGACTACTTAATAAATTACAGATAGATAAGGTAGATATCGTTCTCTTTTGAAGCATACCATGACAAGCAATTTAATTAACAACTAATTACGTTGTTCGTTATTTCATTGTCTAATTTTAAAAATAATATTTAAAATAATAAAAACTGTTTATGTGTGCTTCTAACATACTAAAATTTAAATTAGGGATTATCTTTTGCGCAAGTAACAATACTAGATTGCAAGGGGTGCTAGAATCTTGATAGAATAGAAACAGTTAATCCTCTTTGAATTTAGTAACAGATAAAGTTCAGGTCCAAAAAGCTAATTATACTTACCATCGTTAGATATAAGAGTTACATCACGGGCTGTTTGGAGGCCATTGCGGTCAGCAAGGTTACTGTCACCGAAACCAGTCACATTAGCTTTACCGGTGAATTCTTGGCCTTGTTTGGGCAATTTTGCTGGTTGTATTCTTTCGTTGAAGGTCAGTGGTTGAGCTAACTTAAGTAAAGCAAGATCATTTGGACCGAGTCTATAAGAAACATCGTTGTTTTGAATGTACGCTCGAGACCACCAAATAAATTTTTTTTTTCCAGAAACTTACCCATCTGGTGCGGCGTCAGGATGAGCGAATGCATCTTCAACGTCAACGGTAACTTTGTCGTCTTGAGCTAAGTAAAATGCTCCGGCATCAACCTTTTGGAATGCAATGTACTCAATGCAACTGGAACCGGTCAATACCCAGTTCTCGTTGATGATTATAGCACTGCAAATGTGTGAGCATTTGGGTGGACAAAATTGGACGGAAGCCACGTATGGAAAGTCTTCTATTTCGGCGTCAATGCCACCGTCAATCTTTAAGTGATGGTTGCTGAATTTGGCATTTGGTGCTCCTAAAAAATATGAATATAATAATTTAAAAAATTTTCAGCCTGACCTCCAGTTAGCTAGCTACGATTTTGTGTGTTGTTTTATTTAATTCTATTTACAAGATGTCCCAGCAGTCTGTTATAAAAATTTTTATTTGGCAAATAAATATGTGGTATTTAAACGTAGAGTGGTACGAAATGTAAAACTTAAAACTAAAGAAAATTAATAGAATCCAAGAAGCGTTAAATATGATTCTAGAAGTTGGACCAGTGGCGTGCGGTGGCATTTTTGGAAGGGGAAGCGATTCTATAAAAATACAGCGGGCCAGTAAGCACAGCGCCGCATTCACCATTTTGTCAAAATATTGCTTTTTTTTTCCTCAGTACTACGGATATTCGAGATTGAGATTTTTGAAGTGTTACTATTTATAACCTAGTTTAGTACTAGAAGCAATAAAAAAACTTACTGTTGAAAAGCTTTCTTGGTTTACTTAAACGTAAAAAAAACATACAACTGAAGTTTTTTTTATTTTTTTCAGCATTTTTCGCACAATTGACACAGCAGTTGACATTTATTTATACTTAAGATCTATTCGCCTATCCACAATGGCTGCAAATTTGTCTATAACATCGTCGTAAAATTTTGGATTTTTTGATAACTGTTTTACAAGCTGTTTTTCAATGGATATTAGGGCTAAATTAGAGAGTCTGTCTTCACTTGTTGAATTTCGTATAAAACTTTTAATGCGCTTTTAAGCGAAAAAACTTCTCTTAACTGACGCACTTGTGGCTGAGATGGTTAGTATTAATTCTCACAACTTGACGACTTCACAAAGGGACTTATTTAAACCAGTTATTATAAGAAAATTTAACACATTGACAGGCGTCTTTTTATCACTAATTTTAGCTTTTTATAAACAACACTTAACTGGGTTTTAATGCTGGAATATCGAAAAAAATTTCCATAATTTAATTTTAGTGAATTAAAAGCTTCCGATGGAAATTTTGATGAATCGTGGTTACTAATATTAAAATTGCACAGTTTAACGAATTTTAATTCGTTAAAGTTTTGAAATCAAGAATTCATTCTTTGTAAAATATTATAAAAAATTCTGGAGTATAATCTACGTTAGGAGGTTTTTCTGTTACCGACATTATCAATTCTAATTCTCTTTTTTTCAGATTCTAAGCCAATGCTTTGAGTCTTATTCTAAAAGTGTTCAAACTGATCTCGTTTTTTATTCATTTTATTTTTAAAATCATCAATTTGTATAATTCAAAAGCCAATGTCATTTGACTTTGTCTGTAAAATGTCGAATAAAATGTCAGTAAATGTCAGCAAAAATGACGAGCAAAAAATTGAAATCAAAGTTTTGTTCGAGCCAATGCAAATACCCTTTAGCGGCAGTAACAGTTTCAGCATCCCATGTTTCTTAATTATCCCAAACGTCTTGAAAAAAGTGTATCAAAGAATCACGGTATTAAAACACTGTGTGCACTAGACGTCCATTGTAGTTCCATCGCGTCGGAGCAACTTCTTTTCAATGACTTTAAAAAGAAGGAAGCCAAACCGCTAAGCGTCGAAAAGAAAACTTTGCAATCTTTGATATTATCCATGTTTCGCGATAAAACCAAATTAAGTCTATGTGCTATACAGTGAACAAAAATTGCATGTTTAAACTTCTTTTTTACTTTAGCTTGAAGGCCTCCTAAATGGCCAGCCATTACGGCAGCACCCTCGTAGATCTGGGCAACAAGCTTAGAACCACATTCTAAACTGAAAATAATGTCACAAACAATAATTTTAAACAATGCATCTGCAGTTCGTTCGCTAGTGACGTCTTAAAATCCTAAGAATCGCTCTTGAGAAATGCCATCCAATACATATCGCACAACAATGGATAAATGACTTAAGTTTGCTACATCTGTGGTTTCATCAAGCGTCATTAAGCTACATCTGTGGTTTCATCAAGCGCCATTGATACGAAAGGTGCTTTTTTAATTTCACTTTTAATGTGATCCATCACAACGTAGGCAGTGCGTTTATTTAAATTATTTTGGATTCTGTTTGAGGTACCTCGGAAAGTCGTCGAATCAATAAAATGATAAAATGATTTTTTAGGATATCATCGTATTTTGATAAAAAACTTAGGTCCATGTAATTTTCTCGATTGGCAGACCAACTTGCTTCATTGTGACCACTAAAACTTAGTTCATGCTCTTCCAGGAAACAAGTTACATCTATTAATCGTTGTAAGACGTCCCTATTTTTTTTACCCTTTTATTGTGAATTTTGTATTGTCCAAACTATGTTTAATGCGATAGGCCCCGAATGTTTTTTCTTTAATTGTAGCACTTATATGAGATTTGCTATTTACATGTGAAAATTATTCAAGTCTGTAATACCGACTGAGTTCCAATGTGATTTTCCTGCTATATTAAGAAGTAGGCAAGGCCAGCAAAACAATTTCTTTAAAGTTTTGCAGCCGGTTAACCATTCATACTTTTCATAGAACTCTACGTGAAAATGCCTGATACATTACATTGCTGACTTTTCTACTTTCGTCTTTTAATTGATAGGATCCTTTAGTCTACTAAAATTAATAATGTCTGTTTTCTCTTCAAAATTTCTACTTGAAAATCCTTTTTTCAATAAAGAGCACACAATACAGACACCATTTACCACAATATTATTGTTCACAGACACAGTGCATAGTCCTACGAAAAACAAACTGAAATCTATCTGAAGTCTACGATTTTCCTCACACGTCAATTCGCGGTACAAATTACAATATGCGTAAGGCGACGTAAAAATCGCGGCCTCTTGACCGTATTTAACGTGCCCAAACAGACCGAGTACTGTCGTTGCAAAGCAAGGTCAATAACACAAAGCGAAAACAATTGGAAGATGAGCCGGCTTTTTTAAAACGCGCTTCCGCCGACGGACTCGAAGTATGGTGTGTGTTTACACAATTAATTTTTTCATGGGTGGTGCGTGCGTTTACTTATTACACCAATGAATTGTTAGTACATTTACAAAATTTACGTAATGTTTCAGAGAAAATATAGTACCTAATTTAATATTAATTTCTATGCATTGTTAAATGAAACATATTTATTTTTAAATTTCAAAGTGTAGGGAAGCGGTGCTTCCCCCGCTTCCATGGACGGCACGCCCCTGAGTTGGACTATAAAAGCTCCAGTGCATGGAAAGTGAAGAGTCGAATGTAGTGGCAAGGTAGAGCTCTGGGTATATAAGCTCTAAGAAAGCGAGGGGTATGAGCTTGAGTCGAGAAGTGTAGCTCTAAAAACCAAAGGTTCGAAGAATCCCCACCCAAGGAAAGTTGTAGAGAAGTCGATAAATTCACTTTAGTTGCATAGAGTTCTGAGGTAGGACTATTGTACCATGGATTACAACCGAGTATTAGAAAATACCAAGTGCCCACTAGATAGCGGCCAGCAGCCATATTTAAGTTAATAGGGCAAAGATACGGCCCCTTACTTAGGATATTTGGTGGAAAATCCCAATTCATTCAAATATTTTGAACTCCCAAGAAGTTGGGGACAAAGAAGAAGGGGTACCACCCTCCTTCCACAGATTCAAGATAATCATCGACGAAAAGTACACAAGCAGTGCTGGAATTTTCAATCGACCTCACGAACATTGATGTTCCGACGTTAACCCCATTGTAACTTTGATGTCCAAATTCAGAAACGTTTCGGTTTTAGTGTTTGGTGTGTCCTATTGGGCAATGGCATTTTAGCCTACCAAAGTTATGTTAGAAATTTTAAACAAACACATATTCGATAGTTTTTTGGACGACTTAACGCTGAATGAGAGACGAGATATATTTTTTCAACACGATGTGGAACCCCCTCATAATACTAGAAACGTCTCTGAATAGATAAATCTACATTTTAGAGACAAATGGATAGGGGCAAATAAACCGGTAAAGTAACCAACACGTTCACCAAATTTAACGCACCTAGATTTCTTCTTTTGGGGATATATCAAAGACAATTTAAAAAAAAAAACTTCTAATAATATTGACGAAGTAATACAGTGTGTTAATTTCATATTTATAACGCAATTCGGAATGTTTTTAAACGATGTCGTTCATCTGTATCCTCTAGAAACTGTGAGTGAGTGGTATGTCAATTGTAGACAATTCGTTAAATTGTATATCCCATCACGGGCTACCATACAAAATAACCACAGATTGTGGTACCGAATTTTAAAATATGGACTTTAAAGACTTTTGCAACTTGCACAAAATAAAACTTCATTTTACAACGGCAAAAAATATCACCTCAAATTCTCCACTCTAGTTTAATAGGTGAATAAAAGAACAAAATAATGAATTATCACCCATTCAATTAATTAAGCATTCAATATTAAATTATATCAATTCGATACATTTTGCTACAAAATTCACCCTGTTTGAGATTACTAGAGGCCATATTAATAACCATGATCATTTCGATCTCGATGATCACCATATTCTTTCTTTTTATGTTCAAAACCAATCTAGCAAACAGCTTTATAAAATTATTAAAGAACGTAATGAGAAGGTCAAAGAAAATTTATTTAATAAAAGCCAATAAAAATCGCTTTGATTCTCCCGACTATTCAGGTCAAGAAATTGTTTATGTTCGTACAAAATTACGTGATACAAAATTGCCCAAATTAAACAGAAATCTGATGTGTCCAACACATGACTTTCCTATTTAGTTATTACAGGATTTTTTCGGTTATTTTGTGTAAGCTATTGTAGCACCTCTGTAAGTATTTAGAGGTTAACTTGTTGTGTGTTGTGTGAGAGATATGGCTTCGAAAGGTGTCTATTTGCCACAGATTCTACAGGCAGCCTTAGCTTCTTTATCTAGAATTTCATTTCCAGTGAGGCCGCAATGTCCTTTAACCCAAATAAAGTTAATATTTTTGTTAATTATCCTCAGATTATATAATAAATTTTTAATTTCAAATACAAGTTCTTCTCGATAAAACTTTATTGGAGAGCCTTGGACAGCCTGTAAGACCAACTTTGAATCAGACATAATAACGAATGCTTGAAATGGACTTAACTTACCTACAACACAAAAGAGCTTTTTTAATGGCCAAAGCTTCAGCTGTAAAAATTGAGGAATGCATATGTAGTTTAAATTGTGCTATATGATTAATATTAGAAACAAGAAAAGTTTCTCCAATTCTTTCATCATATTTTGACCCATCTGTTATTATATCTTCACTAAAAGAACTCAATTGGGATTTCAAAATTAGGTTATTTAAGGCAGGAAGATTAGTGTATGTGGGGTATACAATAGTTGGTGGGTGCAATAGAGACTCATATATGTATTGATAAATTGGGAAATAAATATGTTTGTTAATAAAGTAATCGTCAGAATTGGTATTAGCAAAGGCATTAGACAATGGAGGCGAATTTTTAATCCACCAATAAGGTAGGGTTAAATTGCAAGTATTAAGTAAAGCAATTTTAGACACCATGCTTGTATTAAATGATCGATATTTGATTATCTGTTTTTCTGCCAAAAATTGTCTACGAAGCGATAAAGGGGGTTCTTGAATTTAAGCCAATACTGCTTGATTAGGTGCGGACATCATAACTCCCAAACAAATTTTCAGTGATTTATACTGAATACGATCTATGGTTAAAAAGTTGGTTTTTGACGACGCACCGTATATTGTACATAAACAGTCCAAAATCGAACGTATGCATGACCTATAGAAAATCAGGGAAATATTAGTATCTGCTCCAACTTTTTGTTTTGAAATAACTCGAAGAAGATTTAATCCCTTTTCACATTTCTGCTTTACATACTTAATATGGTTTGTCCATAATAGTTTTTTATCCAAGACTGTACCTAGATATTTAAATTCTTCGACAAATGGGATCGTATATCCGCTTAAAGAGATAGACCTAGGTGTAGCTAGACGACGTCAAGAAAAACATAAAGCAGTCTTTTCCGGAGAAATACTGAAACTCATGTCTATAAACCATTGTTTAAGTATGCGCATAAATGTTCTTAAGTCATTCAAACACTGTTCATATGAACTATGAGTGAAATAGAAGCATATATCATCCGCGTATTGAACAATATTGTGATTTTCTAATCTAGGCAGATCGGCTGAGTAAATGTTAAATAGTATGGGACTTAAAATGGACCCCTGTGTTAAGGCATTATATACCGTTTGTGGACCATGTAATACATTATGCTGATCTCTAATGTAAATTTTGCGATTACTAAATAAATTTATTATATTTGCTGAAACTTTTTAACTATACCAATTTTATCCATTTTCCTAAATAGGATATTCAGATCAACAACATCATATGCGCCAGTTAGATCAATAAATATACATAACAATAATTGATTTTTGGAGAAACATAATTGTATATCAGTAACTAAATGACTTATTGTACCTTGCCCTCTACGAAATCCAAAATGTTAAGTAACATTCTAGAAGCAACGAAAATTTTCAAAATTCGGAATCCAACCATTATTCGTGTAGGTACCAGTGGGCTGTAAAATCACGACAAAAGATTTTACATTTTCAAATTAACAAGAAATATAAAGACGCAAAACACTAATCCTACCAAAACTCAGAATTAAACTTTTGAAAATTCGAAGACATTATCAAACCTCAAATATTGGTAAAATAAATTTCGACAATCTATTCGAAATCAATTGAATCGCCAAAAAACTATCGTGGATAATAGCAACATTTTCGACGTTAATAATTTCATATATAATGGTATTTTTATACATATTTATAAGAAGAAGATGCCAAAATTCAAAAACCAAAGAAAAAAAAACTCCAGATAATTCGGACCGCAAAAATGACTCCCTTATTTTTGCGTCTTAGTGACGGAGGAGTTACGTGGGCACATACAGTTGCCATTTAAACATATTATATTATTCTTATCATATTTTATTTTAATGTTTAACTTGTACTTTTAATCTTTTGTTTTAATTTCCATGTTTTATTAGGTAGATTTTTTCTAGCTTTTGTTGAGTAAAGGTATATATTTTAAATAATAAAAAATGTTTTTAAAAACCCTCTATGAGTTTAAAAGTAGTTATTTTTAGCCCTGTTTTCGTACAACTTTTTATTTGTCAAATATCTATTACAAATTCTATAAATTATTAGAAAAAATCTGTTATCTTTAGATACCCCATAAAAAACTACAACGGATCATGTATCTAAGTAATTTAAATACCTGGTTTGAAATCCTTTTGTAAATTATCTCTATTATTAATTGCTCATTTCGTAAAATTCTAGAATGACATAATACGTAAGTGGCCTCAACACCCATTTACTTACCATGACATACTGCTACAGCAGCGAGCAAGATAGCAACTTTAGCACTGAACATTTTGTTGTGATCTGACAAAATAATTTGGTTCCCGGAGTCTTATTTATAATGATTTTTCAAGCACTATTTAAAAAAAAATGGATTGACACTTTTATCAGTATAATTTTAAGTGTTGTTTACGATTTATCTTTTTGTATCTATGTAAATCAATATTAAATGCTTATATAAATTCAAGAGACGCTAAAATAGTGGTTCCCACTTTATCGAGACTGATGCCCGCAAGGGTAAACTCGTAGCGTAACAAAAACGAGAAATGATTTAACTTGGAACGAAATACCGAAAGCCGATAGAAGTATTAGCACGTTAAATTTTTTGGTTTGTGAAGCATTGGTATTACTTAGGTTTAACCATGTGATGATTTTCACAAGCTGATTTTTAAAACCATTTTATATCGCCTTTTGATTAGGGTATAGAAACTTGTTTGAGCAATTTATCCAACAATAATTGGCCCCTTTACCTCTTAAGCCTGCTTGTGGATCTTTTAATTGTGTAGATCCCATCATAAATTGTTTGTAGATAAATGTAAAATGATTTATTGTAGATAAAGAACGATGACATGTCATGTATAGTAAAAATATAAAAAGTCATAATGATAATCAATAGATCCGTGGTAACGGATGTTGCAAAGTAAGTGAATTTAAATTTCATCAAGGCTGCCACTTAATGAAGGTTATCCGATAGTTGACAAGACAAGTGTGTGAAGTTCTAATGTACGAATGTATGTAGTGCAATCGAGGCACTACACTGCTCATGTAAAATAATTGGGCTTCTTACTTCGCCAATTTATATTCTATTAATAAAGGAGAGAAGGATGAGTACCTATTGCAACTATGTTAAAAGAAATAAATTGGATTTCAGTTCAGAATTATGTTCAGTACATGACTGATATTTATTTATATAATACTCTTTATAATGATAATACTCTATAAACCTGTCCTTTTTAAGTATTTCCCTTAATTTATTGTTATTTTACCCCTCGTTTTATCCGCATTTATTATAGATTATTTGTTTTGGGATCACGTACTTTATTTTAAAAAATTACTTGATGTTATATTAATACCACTTACTATGTTTAAATTATTAATAGTTTTGTGAAGATAGGTTATATTCGGAGAGCTAGTAACACAAATTTCATTAAGTATTTGATGCACTTCGAAATTTTGTAATTTGAAATCATTTGGATGGAAAAGCAGATATACCTGTGTTGGCTAGACACACCCCGGGATACCAGGTACTGCGCATAATAGAAAGGTGTCGTAAAATATGACCCAAAAAAAGTGTTTGATTCAGAGGCCAACAAACAACAATTGAAAGTTTATATATAAGGGTTTATAATTAATAAATCAACCCCAAAGTTGATTTTTTTTTAAATATGATTTGAAGTGTTTGATTCACGCTGAAATTTTAATAGCGTCTAAATTAAATATAAAAAAATTTATTTCCAAAAAGGCAGACACTTTTTCCGGGGTTTAATTGTCGGCCAACATAAAAATAAGTCTTATTTACTATAGAAAGAGATTTTAAATTCATATTTCGGAGTACAATAAAAAAATGCATTTATTTAGATGACTTATGTTTAAACTTTTAATCTCTCAATATTAAAAATTAATACAATTAAGTAATAATGGTACTTTTATAGTTTCTAAATTATATATTTATGTTATTCCATTAAATTAAAATGTAGGTATCATTTGACATGATAAAATTTTTCGTAAATATTTGTAATAAATTGTTATATATTATTATAAGCGATTCAAAACCTTTATCAAGATGTGCTCGGTGGCGCACAGCGTACAGTGGTCAAAATTTGGATAGTGTGGATAACAAGTTGGTGAAAAAAAGTTATTGTTTTATTATTTCACAGTCTTGGTAATTCAAAATGTTTAGTGTTTTCATTAAAAAAAAAAAAAAACTAAAAGTTTCGGGGGCTCGAACCACCAACTTGCTATCCACTTTATCCAAATTTTGACCACTGTACGATCTGCGCCATCGAGAACATATTGATAGAAGTGTGGAATTGCTTATAATAATATACATACAGACGACTAGACGAACATTTTTTTTTTATTTTCGGATTCAAAATGATCAGAAACATGAAAAAAAGTTTTAAAAAAATGGGGTCAGAAAATTTTTTCGTCTGCACGAATGCCATACTGAGGCCCCATTGGAAGAACCTCAGTAAAAGTCGTTCACAAAAAATAGTTATTGAACTAAAATTACTTATTTTTGTGTAAAATCGATAAATAATAGCATTTCTGTTTTTATTTATACTATAATTATAAATAATTTATAATTTTAATAAAACTCAATGAAAGTCAATTTAATTATGAGTATTAAAAAAATTCCCAAATATGCCGGTGGATGGTTGGTGAGAGTATCTGACTTCCACACAAGAAACCCAAGTTCGAGCCTCGACTGGGGACTTTTAAATTAATTTTTTTTTCGTTTATTTTATTTTAAAAATTACTAAAAGTCATAAATTATTTTAAAATTAGTTATTTTGTCTTAATAACCTAAAATATTTTTTTTTATTTGTAATTTTTTTTAAGACAAAACCAATGTTAATAAAAGATTTTGATCATTAGTAATATTAGCATAATCTTATTACTAAAAATGTAATTGCATAAATTTAATTTTTGTTTCACACTGAAAAAGTATTAGAAATATAATACACACTCGAGGCGCTTAAAAATTTAGTATTATATGTGCTATATAATTAACAGTATTTCTTGCTGTGCATCCAAAAACGACTTTATTCCCAAGTAGCATTATAGTTACAGAAACTTATATCGCCACTTCGATTAAGTGACTAATACGTTATAATCACTAAATGTACCCCTATATAGTGAAAATAACTTCATTTTATATTTTCCCAGTTTTAGCCACGTGTATTTTACCACTGGGAATCACTTCAAAGTTTTATATTATTTAGTTGCCTCTGAAGGTGTTTGAAACGTTATAGCCACTAAACGGAACCACTTTAAAGTTGCACAAACTTGAATGTGGAAAATAGTAGTTACGGCCACCAAATCATATCACTTAAATACCACTTAGAAGTGCCAGTAATCTTAAACTGGGTTTGACAGTTTTAGTAACGTTTCGGGAACCATAAATATATCTTTAAAGTGGCGGCACTTGATTGTATAACTGCAGTAGTTCTTGCCAAGTTTTTGCCACGCTCTTAAGTGACTTTCACATATTGCGTGGAACAAAAGCCACTTTAAGGTTACTATTACCTTTAAAATTCACAATGAAGTAACCGTTGCCTATTAATGGCCTGCTTTCTACATTTATACATTGTTAATAAATTTTGTTCTGTTAACATCTTTTCATCTTTTATAACGTATTAAATTGTTACTTGGGTTGTATTTAGGTTTGTAGGGTTTTTGTGTGGACCACCAAAGCTCTTTCTGGTATCTGAAGTGTATCTGGATTTCTGGAAAATCTCTGATGCGGTATTTATCCTAGTGCCATTGTAACTACAATCTAGCGTCACCGTAAATATGACTTAACGAGTGCTGATAAGTTTGGCTAAGGTTCGTCTAACAGCTGAGTTTGGGGAGTTTACCCCTACCGTGAATACTAAAATCAGAATAATGAGCCAACTTTGTTTTGTTAGATTTATATTTGTTAAATTTAGTACCCATACCATCGTGTCATTGGGTATATTTGTGTAAATTAAGGTTCTAACATGTTCAATCTCTACGTAGTTTTAGTTTAGGTATATTTAGCGTTAAGTATATGGTATCCTTTAAAATTTTGATTTCAGTCATTTAGAACGGTTAATTCCACAAAGATTTACATTTACATTTATACTTATATATTTTGAGCTAGGTAGCGCTGTGTGTTACTTGTGCACCTTTCAGTGTAAGGGGAAGTGTCTAGCCTAGGTATAGGCCAATTTGTTGATTCGTTTGCTGATTTTAATCGTAGCAAACTATTCTGTCGCCCTTATAAAGATCATTTTAAATATCGGACTACACCTTCTCCGACTTGAGCTATTTACGGAAAATATCTCAATTATGGCTAAGACAATTGTAGACCTGTGATACGTGTGTTATGCCGTTACGGTTTTGACGTAAGTTACATTTCTGGCGCCCAATGTGGGGCTGTCTAAAAATTATTTATTTCTTCTCTTATTCAAATAAAAATGCTTATATTCAAATTTGATGTGTTTTTTTGATTATGGATTACTTCGTTAGAAGAGAAAAATTTAAGCCAGCAGTATTAACAACTGATAATAGAAGTGTTTTGTAGCAGTTTATTTAAAGTAAATAGAAAAGTTGAACTTTTCAATTATATTTTCTTCCCGAAAAAGACGTAATTAATCCATTCGAATAAAAATACATGTTAATGCCTGGACATTAAAAGTAGCATCAAATGTTACTAAAGTGGTACCTTTAATATCCAAGAAAAACAATTTTGTAATTATTCTAATAGTTTAACTATAAATTACCCTGTATAATATTTTTTATTTAAGTAAGAATGGTTTTCGTTAAAACATTTTTTCATTTTTAATATTTTTTTACGTTTATATTTTAATTTTTCTTCAACTTTCGTTTTTTTATGTTAACCACAACATTCAGAATACTTTGAATAGTTTCGAAATAAAAGTGAAGAATCACTTGCTGCATTTAAACTGTCTACTTTTACTGGCATACCTATTTAAATTCTAGGATTTAACTGAAGCTCTATACATTTTGCATACACCTTTTTACTCAAACTTTTCCGGAATTATTCATCGTTGTTGTTTCACTTTAAACTTCTTCCGGTTTGATGAGAAAATAAAAGTGCTTGTTGCAATCCTTTGAATTCTGGTTTAGTTTTTGAATATTTACAAAAATAAATTAAAGAAACATTTAATACAATCTAGTTATAGAACGAAAACAGGGTAAATTAGAAAATTAATTTTAAAATTAAACAAGCATCAATTTAGATACCTATTATTTTATAATAAATAAAAAAAAACCTCATTTACAAAAAAAATTGATTTAGTCTTCACCAATCTCTTCCAATGTATTGTATCAGACCAACCCACATACCCCCTTTTGATTTTTGTTTTAACGTCTGAAATTCTATTATTTACGTCTCAACTTTTATTGTTTTACTTTAAATTCTATAC